GTAATCTCCTATTTAAGGAGCTACAAATTGAGAATAAAGCATTCGGTTTTCAGTCAAGAAAGAGTAGGAGAGTTAGGGTGATCTCTTGAACAAATCACCCTCAGTTCGCCACCATAGGGTCTGCGCGCAAAGGGTGGGGCAAGGGGAAGCTAGGAGTTCTCCCCGTGGACCGACCCGTGACAAGATCCTACGCTAGGGCCCATAACAGACACCAGTCATCGAAGCGGATCAAGAATAACAAGAATCGAATTTCCCATCTTCGTAGGGGGAGATCCCACATCGTGGTTTCTGCGAACAGAAAGATACTTCGATTACCACGACACACAGGGACTTGATCGTGTCCCATTAGCTTCTACACACCTGGAAGGAGAGGCGATTGTCTGGTACCAGTGGTACCGGCGACGGCACCCAAGAGCCACATAGGCAGACTTCACCGATGCCTTAACCATGCGATTTGGAGTCTCGGCCTTTGAGAACTATGATGAAAGCCTCGCTAAGCTACGATAGACCAGCTCCGTCCAAGATTATCATATGGCGTTCAAAAGATTAGCTGTGCGCGTGCAAGGCTGGCCAGAAATTGCGCTTGTCGGCAGTTTTGTTGGTGGACTCAGGGAAGAATTGCGGCTGAAGGTAAAAGCCATGCAACCCACCACCGTTCTTGAAGCAGCAACATTAGCTCGACTACATGAAGACAAACTAAATCGAGCAAGAAGGATTAATCAACCTTTGGGAGTTGCGATCATACTTGGTATATCGAACCCAGAACCAGGTATCTTGGGTAAACCGGAGCCCAGATCAGGAGTAGGAATCACAGGCAAGGACACCAACTCTGGTTCAGGCCCCGGCTCAGCCAAGAGGTTAATCTGGGCTGAGATGCAAGCCCGACGGGAAAAGGGCCTTTGTTATGCATGTGGAGACAAATTCGGGCCGGGCCATCATGTAAGATCCCTCAAGTTTTCTTCCTTCAACCTGAAACCGAATATGTCGAGCAATCAACAGACATTGAAGAGCCAATGGACAACCAAGAATGGGGGCAATGGACAAAGGAATACC